GCTGAGCTAACGGTCCTCTGATGCTGCGAGCAACAACAGCCCAAGTGAACACTCAATGACACAATTCGGTACCACCTGGGTGACAGCCTCCACGCCTTCCTGACACGCCGGTCACATCTCATGTTTATTCGTCTTTATGCAATGTGTTGCTATTATCAGCTTATAAGGAAGGACTCTGCGCAGTGGAGTCAGTTTATGAAGTTAGAGTGATGGGCACATCTGATGGTTGCTGACAATGCAAAAACTGCCCCCACCCCCCCCATGTTACGTCAGAACCGTAAAGACACTTCTACGTTATCACAAGAGCATTTTTGTGTCCTTTGTCTTTAGTGAGAGCAACCGAGTTCACATCCTGTTGAGATCCAAATTAATATTATCACGCCAGTGCTTCCTCGATTCTTCCTCTATCTGTTCGTCGTTACTTGCGTATAAGTCCCCCCACCCCTTTAACCTCTAGGCTGTTGCGCAGTACGATGCGCGTGGGCCCGAGCGCTGCTCGTGCGCAGAGCGCCAGGACAGTGTTGTGCTGTGAAGCGCACTGAGAGGATTGGCGAGTGTAAGGAGAAGCTATGGGGTCTACTGCGTTGCTGGTGGCCCTGATGGCAGTGGCGATGACAGTGGCAAGGGTCAGGAGTCAGGACGGCGAGTCCATTGCCACCAGCTTCCTCTCAGGTCAGTCTTGGTCTGTGCATGAACTATTCAAGTACGTGCTAAGTGCCTATCCAAATGTAGAAGAATTGTGAAAGATTTGGAGGTACTAAATAGTGAATTTGTGAATTAGATTAGTGTCGTTGTGAACCGCGGTTTGCTGCTGAGTTACAAGGATGCGAGATTCCAAGTTCTAACGGCGGTGAAGATGTCTGTGTTGGTCTTTTGGGTTGTGACGCCATTTTCAGGGATGAAGTTTCAAGCGCACAACCTGGAAGACCGAGACAACTTTATAAATAACTCGGAAGAAAGTTTAAGGACGCGCGCGGAATTAAAAAAAATGCGTGGACATGAGGTGCCAACTTTCCAGAAAGGAGAACAAGGTTGTGGGATGATGTTAGGGGCTGGGTCGTGGTGGTGTATGTTGGACTGCGCGAAGGATTGGAATCCTTGCCCCATTAAACTCCGGTTCAGTCTCCTTTATTTACTTTCCATGACAACACTGAATAATTGTGCTATTATGTAATTTTCTCTTTTCTCTGGTCACGTCCTCCGTTACTTCGTACGCGGTTATCAGAATTAGCCACTACATAACGCATTCATAGTCCAAGAAGTAGAATTTTAAAACCTAACCTCACGAGGCAGTAGCCAGTGCACGTCTTCACGGCGAAGTTTAGAATTATCCGCAACCTCGAAGGCGCCCGGTCTCAGTAACTGATACACGCCCTGGCGTCTATCTGTGAACTTCGTTGAGGCAGACAGACGTCGCTCTGTGCGGCCCACCGAATAAATCTGTAGAATTTAAGGTTCTCACGGCTGTGAGTGCGATGATGACTGTCTTCGCAGAGCTACGTACCATTTGAAATCAGTACGTCAAAGCGTCGGTCTCACTACGCACCGGTGTGTCTGGTGCATGTGAAATTGGCGACCTTGTGCGACGCTGAAAAGAGACCTTGCTTGGTAAAAAGGTCATTTACTAGACCCAGACGGAGATGACACGAGCACAAATTATTCGCGACTGCGAACATTTAAAAAGATCATTGCCATTGGACATGGTTGTTGGGTTGCGTTGCTCAGACGCCCATCACATTACTAAGAGATATAAATCACTCTCCTTTCATATATTTTTAAATATTCCCCAAACTGAAAATATGTGAAATGATAATTGCCGATCTGAACAGGTTCTAAAACTGGCTCGTTAGTAAGTCATTATACAAAGGTAGTTTAAAGTCTTCAATGTGCACATTCCAGCACAAAACTTCCATCGATAAAGAAAGAACGTGTGGCCTTAAGACTTAAGGGACGCAAGGCGTGGGTGTGGGAGGATTCAGACTTCTGAGTGAAAGTCCGCCATGTCCACAGACTGTCATGGCGGTGCAGTGGAGCGGAACGGGAACTAGTTTAATTCGATTTTTTATTCGATGGGCCGATAGTCGCGTCTCGTCACTGCAACTGAATCGACTTCGAAGTGGGACGTCCGTCTTTGCTGAGACAAACGGCAAACAAAGGTGGAGCGTTGCGTGTTGCCTAGGCCTCATTCTCTTCGATGAATGGGCGAGTGCGTTCTGAATATTTTCTTGCCTTCCCGGTAGAAGAGAAAACGCGTGCTTTGGATGCGTCAGAGTATGTCCAGTTCGCCACTGGATATTTATTTCTTGTAGAAATGAAAGTTTTCTGCTCACATTATTCTAGGGAATTATCTCAATGGCAACAGCCGCCCAAAATAGTTTGCAGTGTCGGCGATGTCGAGCCCTCGAGCTCCGCTGATCCCAAACATCTAGGCACGTCGTCGATCGACTAGCGCGTACTGTCAACTCGAGGAGGATCAGATGGGCAGGACGTGCGGCATTCATGGGGGGTGACAATTCATATGGAGTTCTCGTCGGAAAACCTCGAAGGATAAAATCACTTGGGAGACCTAAGCGTCGATTGGGTTAAATATTAAAATGGGTCCTGAAGGCTGGAGTGGATTCACGTGGATCAAAGCGAGGTTCCGTGAACGTGGCAAATGGATCATATGCCGTGGTGGACGGAGGGCGTTGTTCTCGCGCGAGTAAACAACAAGTTCTTACCGTGTTCTGCGTCAGTTCGTATCCATGAGGGAAGCCAACTTTCTGAACACCCCGTATGACACGTAGAAGCGAAATTTGTGCGACTGAAGCAACGGGATCGCCATTAGCACCTGCGGTCCGTTAGGCGGTAATGCAGAACTCTGCCTCATTCAGAAAGCAGGAGGACGATGGCTGTCTCCTGAGTCGTAGCGCCTTCTAGTCTGGTAGAAATTTACCAACGTTTCAGAGGTCCTCGATTCCTCCATCATTAGGGCGACGAGTCATCAAGGACCATCCAGAAGACAGCCGTCTTCGGACTCACCGCCGCGAAAACCTCGAATTCTGCCACGTCCAAATAACCACCGCCTGACCCCTTTCGACTCCCGATTCATAAAATCGTAATTCGACGCGTGCATTTGACAGAGAAGTGAAACAAGCCGAAGGCCGAAGGCTGTTCTCTGTTTCACACTCGGAGCTGTTGCCTTGCCTCAGAGGGCACGTGCCCCTGTTCTTTGAGCACAGAAAGGGTCCGATGGCTTCCTCTTGTGAATACGGCAATGGACGTTCGGATTCCATATCCTTTATCAGTTAAGCAACTATCAGCTTGGAAAGTAGGACTGTGATACGCGGGTTAGGAGGTGCGTGACGTCACTGCCCGGTGAGGAAAAGAACGACGAATTGGGAAGATCCTTCTGGGATAGATCCCGGTCGCGTCCAGCAGTTGACCCACGGCAGGCGGGGAAGTGTGTGAACTGGGCTACCGGACGTCTAGGTTTGCCAACTACTGAGAAGCAAAACGTCGGATGTCGCTCGTTCCAGTTCACGGAGACGAACTTTCAACACGAATATGAAGAGCATTCCACGCTCTTAGAATGCCTGCGCTTGTACCGACGAGGGCGGGTTCCCGGCTCCACGCACGGAAATTGGAAAAAACGAACGCAGTCTCTGCAACAGTGGCTCACGGACGATGCGAGTGCTGCAGACACGAGACGAACGTGACAGATCGTAGAACTGCTTTTATGAAGCATCAGAAATGTCAAATTGAAATGTATAAATGCCAGCCGAGCCGTGTCCCACGCTGTCAGTTTCCTCCCGCTGCAGTCAGTGTGTGTTTGCGGCAGGCTGACCTCGCCGTGTGCCCTTGACCTCGAGCTGACCAGGAAGCCAATCCGCGACCTCATTCCGCAGCATTGGGCTTCCTGTCCTGATCGGCGCGAGGCCACGTGCCTCCAGAGACAGGCGGAGGATGATAGGAAGAAAAGTAAGGAAAGGAAATTGGCGAGAGCAAGAAGGAAATAACTAAGAAAGAAGGTGCTGACGTCGTGTTGGAAATTTTTAGAGAGAGAGAGAGAGAGAGCCCGTAATCTGTTGGTTCGAACATTGCGTTATACGTATTGAAAACCTAAATGAGCGAAGAGTGATATTATTAAAATTGGTTTTATTGAAGTCTTGGATCGGATGGTCTGATGCAGAGGTAAAGTCGCTGAGACAGTTTCATGAACCGCCCAACGCCAAGGGGCCTCGTCCGTGGAATGCAGCACGACACATTTTTCTGAGCAGGAAGTTCCGTCCCACCAAAAACTCTTCTTGTCTCACTGGTGTGACGGAATGTGTGAGCCGGTGCACTCTCAATAAGGCAGGCAAACACCCGCCCGCGACGAACCCTCGTGCCTCACAGAAGCAGAGGGCATTTGTTGGAGCGATCCACGCCGAAAGAGCGTCACAGTCAGGGCTTAGCACTCTTACTTTGTGTTTGAGACGGTACTCGGCCCAGGAGCGACTGTGCAGACTCTGATTTTTCGTGGTTTACTTCGATCTTTCCAGGCACTTCCATATTCTTCCAAATTTGCTGTTTGCAGCCGAGGCTGTTCCCAGTCAAAATCTGCCCCTTTTATCAAAGGCTGTGTAGCTATGGATTTCTTATGTTAAAATATGAAAGACGAAATAAATATCCGGCGAGTCCTTATTCACAAATTTACAAAGACTGTTCAGAATTATACTGGGTCGTTTTAAGCTCGTAAACTAATTAATAATAAAACAGATGATTTGGATTTCACGTCTAAGTTGTTAGTTTTCTTGTTTTTAGTTAAATATCGTACTTACGAAAGTATTCCAAGTAAAAGTTACACATTTTCAGGAGGTGTGCGTTTCGTGTCCAGTTTAACTTTTTGTGAGACGAACATTTTCTGGGCCTCTTTTGGGCTTCAGGTAAATCGACTGATAAGGCCTTAATGAAGTTCTATGGACAAGTTTTATATCCTGAAATGCGTTAAGAAACTTTAGTGGAAACTGATTTCGAAAACGTGCCTTGTGGACAGACGCTGCTGTAGTCATGGAAAACACATCCCTTTATGAAGGCAGGGAAGTGCTGTGAGGTGATGAATCAAGGACAAAAACTGTTTAGAACCTGACGGGATGACAAAATTTACACGTGAAAATAATTCAGATAAAATAACATGGAGACTTCAATGGGTGTATAAGACACGAACAGAATATTCTGAGCACGTTGATACAAGAGGATAAATAATTCTACATTTTCTGTCAGTTGTTGTTGCGAGGTTGTTTGGGAACACATGCATAGAGAACAAGGGACAACTTAGAAAAGGAGCACGGTACGGCATTCTGAAGAGACGAAACCCAAACCCTGAAGAATGTTTTGTCGCGGTCTGCTTAAACAGCAAATTTGGTTTCAAGTCGCACTCTGCCCCTTTTCGTGCGTCGTCCTTGTGGCCTCGCGATGAGACGACTTCCAATTCGAGGGGCCCGACCCTCCTTAATAGAATGCATCGAGGTTTGAATTGGACATCGCCCCAAGAAAGAGGACAAGAGGAAAATGATTAGTGACCAAAGATCGTACATTCTAAGCTGTTTATTGGATGCTGTCTACAACAGACAGTGAACATCGGTAGAGTAATTGTCGAAATGTATTTTGCCGCAATGGAGTCGATCATGCAGGACGCCCAGTTTATCGAC